AATATTATTTTTTAAAAATTTTTAAAGATTAGAGAGAGGAAAAAAAAGAATGTTAAGTAGGGGCTAAGCTTAATATCATAAAATGTTTCTGATAGATTTCCAAAGATTAATCATTAAAAACCTGCTCCACTCTTCCTAAGTTTTGTTTGCTAAACAACTTCAGGAAGAAACATCATCAAAAATACAAATGTATTTCTTCATGTAAATGTTTTAAGCTTCTCTCAATCATGTTTTTACAGAGTTCCCTTTTTCTATACAGAGTTCTAATCCTGAGGAAAGAGAATCAAATTTAAGTAAAGCATTTATTCTGACCCTGTAAGTAGCTAAGTTTATTGAGTATAAAATGGAACCAAGTTACTCTAGACTTTGAAAAATGCAATTTATTTTTAATGACTATAGATGTTGCTCAAGATTTTAAATAATAATTTTTATATAAATGTTGCTTTAAGTGGTTCATGTAGTTCAGTTAAGAAAAGCTACTTAAAAAATAACTCTTCTGTTTACTCAGAAGTTCTGGAAGAACAGAATGAGTTAATCAATTCTAGAATCACCAATTCCCTATGTTCTATAAGTATACAAAAGGAAAGATATTATTTAATAGTAAACTGTTGCTAATAAGGTCACATCAAAAAAGGAATTTGTAGTATTTACACCATTAGTTCACATTAGTCAATCTCACATCCCTCTACTTAGAGATACAAAGCATTACATGATACTCCTGTGCAGGAAAAATTCAATATAAAGTTTGGAATGACCCCACTTTAAAACTATCTCACCTATAAATCAGGTTTGGGAGCATGTACACTGAAGACAAATTTAATACAAAGTGCCCAAATAAAAACAAGCCATTCATTCAAGTTTCAAAGGTTATTCAGAAGCTCAAGGCATTGGGAGCATCTTCTATAGTAGCTAAAGCCAAATTCAGATGAGGCTTTTTAATAGTGCAAGTGGAAAAAGTTGGTGACCTTACTTCATTCCTTATAGAATCATAGTCTATGGAGCTAGAGGAGACCTTAAAGAAAATCCATTCCCTCATTTAATGATAAGGGCACTAGGCCCAAAGAGGTACAGTGAGACTTGCCAAAAGACCATTCAAGCAAGGTGGAGCAGAACTGGGACTCAAATCCAAGTCTCTGGTGTCTGTAGAGCTAGAAAGATAATCTCACTCAAGCTCTTTACTTTATGGAGGAGGAAACCAAAACCCAGAGCAATGGGCTGACTTGCCCAAGGCCACGTGTAGACTGGGGGATAGAGGAGCTGGGACTACGTAGAAAATTATCTTCAAGAAAGGCCATGGGTGTTCTAAATGGTGTGGAACAGGGGCCCTGGCCAAGCCTAAGAGGACTCTGAGGTGCATGGTCAGCACAGATGAGTAGTCAAACTGAATAGGTTAAAAATAAACAAAACCCTGCAGTCTTCCATTTGAGTTAGCCAATAAACTGGCACTTTTTTTTATTATGGTAAGGCCTCATTTACAGTAACAGCTAGTATTTTACAGAGTTTTAAGGTTTGCAAAGTGCTTTACAAATATTACTTCATTTTATTTTCACATAAACCCTCAGGGGTAGGTACTATTATTATTTCTATTATACTGAAGCAGAGAGAAGTTGAGTGACTTGGTCAAGGTCACACAGCTAGAAGGGTCCAGGCCCAAATCTGAATTTAAGTCTTCCTAACTCCAGTCCAGCACTCAATTCCACTGCTGTACCCGGCTTCCTTGGGAAAAGAGTTAACCTACATAAGTACATTTTCCAAAGAAACAAAACTTATTTCTAAGTGCCAAAATATTTATAAAAACCAATTTTAACGGAAACCTCTCTAAAATGTATTATATATTTCCTTTCCTTCATAAACAGTCTATTGAATGTTCAGCAATTATAATGATCAGGCCTCTCTCCAAAGAAGAGATATGCATTAATACCTTTCCCTTCCCTTCTTTACAGGGGTGGGAGGAAACGTGGGTGTATACATAATGTCAGACTCTCCTAATATCAATCAATACATATTTATTATCTGTGAGCCACACTGGCGATACAAAGACAGAAATAAAACAGTCCTTTCCCCAAAAGGAGCTGACATTCTATTGGGAAAGGGCTAAAATAAGTAAATATAAAACACAACCAAAGTAACTGGGGAAAGCACTAGTAGTTAAGAACATTAGGAAATGAATCATATGCAGGAGGTGGAATTTCAGCTGAGCTTCTTGGGAAGGTAAAAGAATCTGGGAAATCAGATAAGCCTCATTAAGTGCCTTTTATGGTCAAGTAGTGCTGTGCCAGGTGCTAGGTACACAAGTCATTTTGAAAATCACTGCCCTCAAGGAACTTATTGAATATAATACATTTACAGGAAAAATAAATAGGACCTGGGTAAGGGGCTGAGGGCTTCTGCTATGAATCAAAGACATGACCACTTCAAGGAAGGGCCCTTTTGACTACTCAAAGATCTTTTATCAACATTGTTCCAGACAGATGGGATTCCTACATAAGTGATCAATTATTGTGCTTATCTTCATAATTAATGTTTTTTATAGTGTTAAAGTGTATTAATAGTATTTCTTTACAGTATTTGTGTTTGGTGATTTATGTGAAACAGTGAGTTTTAATTTTCAAAAATCACTTATTAATTTGACAATTATTTAACAATAATTTCACAATTAAGTAGATGTTTATCCACTCTGAACAAGACTGTATCCTGGGCACTGGGGGGGGAGGAGGGAGATACAAGGATAAATAAATTATTTTTCACAATTCAGCAGTAAAAGATAAGGTAATGCTACTCTAATGGACTCCATGAAAAATTTCAGTGGCTTTACAAGGTAAAGATGAAGAAAGGGCCTTTACCATCAAAGTAAAAGTTGCTATAGGTTGGCCATCTTCTAAATAACATTCTGAAATAATAACCAATTTAAAACTATGTTCTGATAGTTTTATATTTTCTTCCGGCAGTATGATCACATCTAACATGCAAACTGCTTCCTTTACTCCCTTTACAAGAAGCCCCAACCTAAAATTCAGACTTAAAACACGCTGAAATCGCAGCTCTTGCCTCTCAAAGTAACTTATGAACAGTAGTGATACACAGTACATTTCCTATTCCCTTGAGCCAATCACTTCTCAGGATACATCGACCCACAGACTCAAAAAACATTTTCACCAATAGCATTATGACTGGAGGTGGGACTTCCGCTATCATTTTAGTCTGAACTCTCCTTACATTTTATGGAGGCAGTTACTCCGAGTACTGAAAAATCTGTAAAACTTCAAGTTCAGTTTCATGCCGAAATAAAAGAATAACCACAATGTTAGTGGTGTTGTGAATGAATCCAAGTAAGGCCTCAGATGAACTCCTAAAATAAAACAAGAATATGGGGCTCATTTCCACTTAAAAAAAAAATCAAAACCAAAACTTTAAAGACACCACTTTGTGCATCAGCATTACAGCAACTGCTCCGTCCCCTCAAGTCCTACTTTGGTTGGAGCAGAGGGTGAGTCTGCCAGAGGCAGCAGAAAGCCCGATCGCAGTAAGCTCTGATTACTGATCAGTGCACAACTCCGAAGGTCACTGAATATTTACTGTGCAAAAAAAAGACAGGATTCTGCATATTCGTAAGTACTTTTCACACTTTCAGAGTTTCTCCGGAATTATGCTTCTTAGCTTCACAAATTCCTTTCATATCAAACATATAAAATATAATTTCTGGTTTCACCTGCAAGTTCTTACAGATAATGCCACAAACTGACAAATCTAACTTTAAAGGTTATCAAATGACTTACAACTTTTAAAAATTTGACAGAAGCTTCAAAACTGTATTGTTTTTAAGAGAAAAAAGTTAAATTAGCAATATGGTTCTGGGATCTGAAGCAACAGAGTTCTACAATTAACTTTTTCTGTCACCATGGGCAGTCAATTTAGTGAGCCACTTTTACGGATCAAAGCCTTTTAACACTATTTAATATAACTTTAGCTTTTATACTTTGGCTTTGAGAAGCTGTGCCTAAATTATCTTTATTCTTCAACGCAGAACCTGTTGCTATTAGAGAAAGTTAACAACTACAGAACTCGACCCTAGTTGATAAAGGTTCAACACAAAAAATGGGACGTGGGGGAGGGGGAGAAGAGATTTATTACAATTGATGTCACCGAAATGCATTCAATTTCACTCAGAAGCTATTTTACCAAGTCCCTCCAAACCTCCCCAAAACCTTGGATACAAGTCTGAGTAAAAATTCAATATCTCATCACCGGGATGTGTATGGGGGGGGAGTTGGAGTGAGAAAGCCCTAATTTACAATGCAAAGGCAAAAAAAAAAAGTCCCCCAAAAAAGGGGGGTGGCTCGGGAGGCCCGGGCGCTCCAGGATTCTCTCCAGGAGGCGCCCTCCCATCTGGCCCACTCAGCCCCGGGCTTCCACTTCCTGGGGGCCCCGGCTCACTGCTCCCCCCCACCCCCCCACTCCGCGGCTCAGCGCTGCAAACTTTCCGTCGAAATACCAGTCTCCTGGGCACGGTCTCCTCTCCCTCTCCCCGCCCCCAGCACCGCCAATTTTGGACGACATTTTGCGGATCTGGGAAGGAAGGAAAGGGGTGCGATTTCCCGAACCCCACCAGCTCAACTCCAGGACGCCCGGGAGACCACCACCACCAAGTCCTCCCCACCCCGGGCGTTCGGGCCAATTAAATCCATCTCCCGTTTTGGGGACAGAGGATTCCCTCTCAGACTGGGTGCGTGCCACTGAGCCAACGTCGATGCCATGTCCAGGGCGGGGGGGCGATGCCAGGGAGATGAGAGGGGGCGCTCGGATGCCAAGGAACAAGGGGGAGCTTGGCAAAGGAGAGGCGAAGCGAGCCAACAGTGCACAGATGCCCAGGGAGAGGAGGGGGCGCTGTGATGCCAGGGGAGCGAGGCGGGGTTGGGGTGCCCGGAGCCTAGCCGGAGGCGGTGTGCCATGTGGGGAGGGCGGCTGGGCCAGGAAGGGCCCCCCAGGCGGGGGGCCTTTACCTTGATGTGGAAGCGGATGAGGGCCAGTCGGATGCAGTGGGCCATGCAGACGGGCGGCAGGAACCAGACCTTGGGCGGCGGGGTCCCCTTGTTCTGGACGTGGCTGACGATCTGCTGGGCCGTCTGGCGCTCGTTGCCCTGGCGCTTCACCCACTCGTGCAGCCGGGCCTTCTCCAGGGCCCCGTTGAAGAAGACGAAGAGCTCAATGTTGCCGTTGAAGCAGGCCTTGGCCAGGGCCGCCAGGTAGCCCAGCATGTGGTTCCACTGGCCGCCGCTCACCCAGTCCGTGTAGAAGCCGCCGTAGAGACGGTGCAGGCAGTTGTCCGCGTCGATGAGGAGGCGCAGCGGGGTCTGGGGGGGCCGCTGGCGGCCGCCGCCCACCAGGCTGCCCCGGGCCAGCTTCTGCAGCTCCACCGGGACCACGGCGCTTGGGCAGTGTTTCTCGATGTAATCCTGGAAGCCCTGGACTCCCATAGCGGCGGCGGCGGAGGCGGCGGCGCGGGAGGAGGAGCAGGAGCGGGAGTAGGAGCAGGAGAGGCGGCGGCAGCGATGAGGTGAAGTGGGCAGGCCGGCCGGCGACGGCGGCGGCGGCGGCGGGCGGAGGTCCCCGGCGGAGGCTGCCCTTCCCCCTCCCCTCGCCCGCTCCTCTCCCTCAGCCCGGCGGGCGGCAGCGGCGGCGGTGCGTGGCGGTGCGCTGGACTGCGGGCGGCTGTGTCCGTCCCCTTCCTCCCTCCTCCCTCCCCGGGAGCTCCCCCCTTCGGTCTCCGGTGGTGGCGGCGGCGGCGGCGGCGGCGGCTGGTAAATGGGGCGGGGGAGGATGAGTGAGGAGCCGGAGGTTTCCTTGGTGGCGGCGGCGGCGGCGGCGGCGGCTGGAGGCGGTTGGCTGGTGGGCGGGCGGGCTGGGCTGGGTGGGTGGCTGCTGGGTCGTCGGGGGCTGAGCCGGGCAGGCGGCGGTGTCTAGGGGGGAGTTGTATGAGTCGGGGGGGCGCTCATGGCTGCTGTGGCCGCCATGTGCTGCTGCCTCACAGGGCCATGGCTAGGGAGGGATCTGCCGCCGCCGCCGCTGCTGCTGCTGCTGCTGCTGCTGGTGGTGCTGCTGCTGCCGCGGCTGCTGCTCCTCCCGCTGCTGCTGCTGCTGCTGCCTGAGGGAGGGAGGGGCGAGGGTGGAGGAGGAGGAGGAAAGGAGGAGGAGAGGAGAGGAGGAGGTGGAGGAGAGGAGAGGAGAGGAGGAGGAGGAGGAGGAGGGTAGTGTGTGGCGGGCGAGCGGGGGAGCGCTGACGTACAGCCCGCCGCCGCACGGGAAGGAGACCCTGCAGGGGCCGGCGGAAGAGGCGGTGCCTGGGCTGGAATGGGAGCGAGGCTGAGGGAAGGGGGAGTGAGGATAGGCCCCGAACTGGGCCCAGCAGAGCCCAAGTAGGCTCGCTCCTCAGCCCCAGTCAGAATGGATGGACGGGCGGCCGGAAGGCTGGCTCCCCCCCGCCACGGTCACAGCCCACCCCCAGTTCCCAGTGGATGGACGGACGCGGGGAGGGAGGGAGATAAGCTGAGCAGAGACTCCCAAGCGAACGGTCCCCTCCCTCTGTCGCCGTTAGCTAGCCACCAGGAGGCCTTAAGGCCTGAGGCCTGGGATGCTGGGCCTGGTTGCATCATGGAGCATGCGCCATGGGCGGAGGGGAAGGGGAGGGGCTGTTAAAGGGGGTGTGGCTCCCCACATGAGCACAGGCCGAAAGCCTGGGTCAAGGGTGAAGGGGAAGGGCGAAGTGGGGGGAGGGGGCGTGCGTCAGTGCGAGGTGCGTGGAAGAAAGGGCGGGAGGGCCCCCTGGAAGCTGTAGAATAGAGAGCGGTTCTGTACGGGCGGCGCGCAGGGAGGTTCGGGAAGGGACCTGGCGGGGACAGGGACTCGGGTTTAGGGGTGCTCGGTGAGGGGAGCAGCGAGATCCTTTCAACGATCCTTTACGCCCGCCCCGTGCATTACCAAAGTCCACTAGGGATGCAAATTACTTTTGGGCAGCGCAGTCAGCCTGCCCACGGCCCGCTCACCCTACCCACTGGCCTCCTGACACTTTTTTTTTCTTTCTTCCAAAAATGGAGATGAAGTCTTGTACTCTCCGATCCTCCGTACCTTAGACAAGGGGTGGGGGTGGATGGTGGGGGGCAGCGGGATCCCCCGAACAATTACAGTTGTAGTATCTTGACACAAAACTGCTGACTAGATGGAATTGACTGCACTTCGGAGACCGATCACGAATTCGCTGGCCAATGGGATCCGTGGAAGAGAAACTGGCAGGCAGCCTGCTAAGCTGGAATACTCGGCACGAGCCCCCTTAGCCCCCTTCCTTGGCCAGGTACTCGCAGAGACCCCCGAACTGATTATGCTTGAAAGCATCCAAGGAAAATGTGTCAGACGTTAAGTGAAAGACGCCTCATTTGAATTCCCACTCTTTTTACCCCCGAAAGTTATGAGGTGTTGCAACTTTCACCTTCAGACAAATAAACAGAAATGATGACAGCAAAGCCCATTGCCTGATTTTGTCAACATATAAAAAAGACTACATTTTACTAGCATTAGAACTATTAGAAAATAGGCAATAGGAATGTTGTCAATATAAGGCAGCCTAAGATTATTACATGACTACTCTCTAAAAAAAATCCTGCTGTAAAAATTGGAAATTGGGTGTGTTAAGTGTAGAAAGAACTATTGCAGGCCCTCAGGCTTTTCTATCACACCTGTCCAGGTAGTTCATAATCACTTAAAGTATTGTGTGGGAAACTGGAATCCAGCCACTAAGTGGCTATTTTTGAGCACTGGAGTAAGAACATATTGCTATGGCACCTACAAATTTAAAAAATACTTTGCACACAACAAGCCTTTGAGTTAGTGCAACTATTATCCTCATTTTATGAGTGGCAAAACTGAGTTTCTTACGGTACCATAACTAATAAATAATAGAGCTGGAATCCAGAACCAAGTCTCCTGATTCACAAATCTTTCCCTGATGCCATGTTCTACCAGAAAAATAAAAATGGTAGAATACCCAATAGTTTTTGAAGTTCTTTTGCCACATTTCCTGACCCTTACAAGAAAACTGTAAGGAAAACAAGGGAGGCATGTAAGAGAGTAAGAAACTTAAAGCCCAGAAGGTATAAGAGAATTGTACAGTCACACAGTCAGTAAATGGCAGAATCAGGACTCATTCATTCATTCAATAAAGTTCTAGCTGCCTAAAGAGCACTTCTAGATATTAGGGAAGATTAAAAAAAAAGTTTAGATAAGACAACTCCTGTTCTCATGGAATGTGTTGTGTAATTGTGGCATACACATACAGTATTATGAGATATGATGTGTAGTGCATTCTGCATTAGAGACTGAAACACTGTGATATGTATGTGTGTATGTATACATTTATGGATGCAGGTAGAGTAGAGAGAGCAGCAAGGTACCCAGAGAAAAAGAGTGTAGATACTTAAAACAACCAACAAGCCCAACCATTGTCACCATTTCAATGACCACCACTCCTCAAATACCAATTAAGATAGCCAGGACCCTGATCCTAAAAGCATTGGGATTAGCAGTGCCCCCCCCTCCCCAAGTAGTTTCTACCCAGGTTTCCTAAGCCATTATCAAAGGGAGTCATCATACACTCTACCACCTATACCAACTGCTGAGCAACTGCTACTGATGTGTACTAGTTAGTTCCAAGAGTCCTGGGAATAGTGGCTCCTCCCCTTCCAGACCTCTTCAAGCGCCACCTTTGTGGTCATCAACCAGGGAAGCAGCACTTATGGAGAAGGAGCCAGCCAACCCACCAACTGCCACCAGCAGGCAAAGCTTGCCAGTTTCGGTGAAGTAGCCAGGTACCCTGAAGGAGAAACGGGAGCAGCATGTGCCAGGAAGGCCAAATCACTGCTACCATCTCAGCTATCACCTTCCCCAAGGGTGTAATAGAGAAAGCCCAGAGTTATGAATCTGGATAACAGTGGCAACTCCTCCCACCCCACTCAGACCACCAGTAGTGCTTCCAGCTTAGCCTCAGTTATATTCAAGGGGAGCAGCCTACATAATTGCCACCAATAGGCAGGTAAGCCCGAGAACCTTGGGAATATCGGTGGCCCCCTTTGTGGAGTTATGACCTGGCAGCTGCTCCTATAGGTGCTACAGCCTGTCTGCTTAGCAGCAGACACAGCTACTGAAGACCCAGAAAAGAACATTCTTCCCACCAAAGTCCCTTAGTCCTGTCAAATGGTTCAACAACAAAGCTGGAGATGGTTTTATCAGTGGACATAAAGACATTTACCATCAGCTTTGCCACCACACCCTAAAGGTCACAGAACTTTTCCATCTGATGTACCTTTAAGACCTCCTATACACGTAGCCTCCTCTCATTAGAATAGGAGAGAAGGGTCTGTCTTGCTTTTTTGACTTGTAGTCCCAGCGCTTAGCAGACAGTAAGCTTTTTAATTCACTTATCCACACAGAAATTGGTACACTTCACCCCTCTCTCATTTGTCAATGCCCTTTCTGTACTGTGTCATTAAAAACCAAACACAATACTTAAAATATGGTCTGGCCAGAAAAGAATACTTTTATTTTCCATAATCAGCACATTGTCCTTCTACTAACTTGCCTTAAGATTAAGTTAGCTTTTTAAGCAGCCAAGTCACATGTGACTCTATTTCCCAAGATGCCTGCTCTCCAAATATGAATGCTCCTTGGAAGAGAATAAGGACTTCATTTCCCACAGGTTGTGTCTGATCATGGACAGGAGATGAATCTTTTGGGAAGATGGAAAAGTAATGGAGTTTGCTGTCAGGTTTGTGACCATGCAGAGCAATGTAATTTTCTTAAAATAAGTAGCAATAGTAGCAAGGTTTTGTGTTTTTTAAAAATTATCATTGGACTCTAAACATCAAGGGAGATGATGAGATGTTCTGGCCAACAGTGGCCAAGAAGTGATGAGTAATGAGTACCTGATGAGACCCAAAATGGGAGTTTCATAGACAGTGCGATTGGGAGCCTCTTAAAGAAAGACAGATTGTGGATCAAGCATGTAGGGATACAAATAGGGAATCAGACAACTGGCCAAACGTCAACATAGCCATTCACTGGGCTCAAGCCAAGCCAGGAACCCATCTAGGAGTACATTTAAGCTGCTGAGACTTTGTCCATGCCTTTCCTATTGTAATTATGAACTTGAGTTCCAAACTATTCTCCAGGGAAAGGGAATAAAACTACTTATTCAGAAATATAGCTGATTGTTTTTTGTTACTTTATTATTAATTTCTATCCAAATTAAGAGGGCAGCTAGGTGGCATAGTGGATAGAGCACTGGGTTTGGAATCAGGCAGACTCATCTTCCTGAGTTCAGATCCAGCTTTAGACATTTACTAGCTGTGTGATTGGGCAATTCACTTAGCCCTATTTGCCTCCATTTCCTCATCTGTAAAATGAGCTGGAGAAGGAAAATGGCCAACCACTCTAGTATCTTTGCCAAGAAAGCCCCAAATGGGGTCACAGAGAGTCAGACGAGACTCAGCAATCCAAATTAAGTGTTTTACTTGTTTGATGCTGTTCTTTGCTCGGGTCTGTTAGCATGTTGAGCAGCCAAGTAGTTCCCAGGTTCTGACTGGACGGAAACAAAATTGAGGCAAATAGTGATTTACAATCAAATTGTCTATCCTCCACAATTTGAACTCAAGTC